AAGCGGCAGTTGTGGTTGTGGGCTTGTGGCATTACATTTTAATAGACTCATAGCTGTCAATGTTGTTCAACCCCTACTCTAACTATGGCCTCAATCGTGGGACCCATTTCATAACCCAAAAAACAACCAAACAACAATCTCATGCTTCCCAAGACACACTAACAAGAGACAACTGTTTTTTTTACAATAACATTCTCATCAACCTTAATTCATTTCTAAAACAATTGTGTTTCCATGTAACAAAATAATACATCAAAAACTCATCTAACTATATAGGTGGCAAACGAATATATTGTGTTTAAAGGTGTCTACAAAAGTTTGAAAAAAATGAGTCAGAGTGGGATAACCTAATTGAAGTAAGAATTTAAAATTTTCGTCTACTCCATAAAAAATATGAGATTAGAATATGACATCCAACATTACATCCATAAGAACTTAAAATTACAATATATATATATATATATATATATATATATATATATTAATGCTCGCACTAACAAAAATCTGTAAATGAAACACAGATAAAACAGATATACTCAACAAATTGAGTATGTTATGTCACTCTTATATACATAATCATGAGATTTAGGGTTCAGATTTGGTTATGACATCTAACCTCGCGACATTGTCTTTTATAAGTTAAGTTAGAATTTGAGGATTAATTTTTTAAAATCTATCGACTAATTAATAACAATACATTCTCATTCCCATTAAATTATGATGTTCTTTAAAGCATCTAGGTGAATTGGGTATCTCTTGTTGATAGCTAAATTGAAGCTTGATCTTATGTGTCTGATACATGTTAACAATAAAGATGTTAGGTCATCAATTTGAGGGTCAACATGAGTGAGCATTTTTATATTGGAGCTTTTTTATGAGCAACACATTTTGTTCGCACTCAATCCATAATATTCACCCTCAAACAAAAGCTCTTTCGTTCACGTGCACTTGTGCTATTGTTGACACTTTCCAATAGGACGTCTCATACCCACCACTATGTGGGAGGACTTTCGATACAAGTGAATTGATCCTTCACTCGAACCAATGACTCATGATACCATTGGTAGGTCATTAATTTAGGGGTCAACATGAGAGATCATTTTTTACATTTCGGCTTTTTTTATGAGCAACACGCTTTGTGAGAGATACCCCGCATATTGATACAAAATCTTAAGGCGATAGGTGTATGGTTCTCTCACTTATAAAATGCTCAATCTCTATTTTCCAATTAATGTGGGACTTCTCCACACTTGTTTCTCAACACTTCCAACTCACACATATTTTTTTCAATAAAAGAAACATATCATTGATGTTGATGCATTTCCAATAGCTTTTGCATTGGTTGAAGGTGAGACAAGTGGTGTACAAAGAATATTTTTGAAGAATTTGAGAATGCACGTCACATTCTACCCTTTATCTATGTTTGATATCTAACAAACATGAATTTTTATTAAAAAAATGTTTTTTAATAATTCAAAAAATTTCCAATATCATTTATCTTCACATGTGAACTCCATTAAACACATTGCATAAAACTTTATGCGTGAAATAAAATACAAAAAACTTGGAAAAAAATTGTTTACATAGGTAATAATCTTTGTTTATCCTTGCTAAATGTTTATGAAGTTGTCAACATCTTTAAAGTCTACAAAGAAAATTCCCTATGTGTTTCTTATGAAGAATATTGGTCTCATCATGAAGGTGGTACTCTTTGCTACAATGAGTTTGTGCAAAGAAAAAGAAAGGACATCCAAACGCCGTCCACGTTAGAACCGAATCAGGAAATATTGAGAAACCCATAAAAATGTGAAATTTGTCACCTAAACAACCATAGCCACAAAAAAGGTCATGGCCAACTCCCATAGTGTGACGGGCAGTGTGTACAAGGCCTGGGAAAAAATTCACCGTCGTATGGCTGACCGATGATCACTAGTGATTCCGACTTCATGTAGGCGAGTTATAGCCTACAATCTGAACTGAAGACGAGTTTTTGAAGTTAACTCACCCTTGCGGGGTCGCGATCCTTTGTCTCATCCATTATAACACGTGTGTCATCGAGGGCATAAGGGACATTGATGACTTGACGTCATCCTCATTTTCCTCTGACTTATTAATGGCAGTCTATTCAGGGTTCTAAACTAAATATTGGCAACTAAACACGAGGGTTGCACTCGTTGCGGAACTTAACCCAACACCTCACAACACGAATTGACGACAATCATGCACCACCTGTATCCGCTACATGCACACTTATAATTAAGTATCTTTATTTTTTCAAGAGTTCATCATATAATCAAGTTATCAGGGAATTGTCATTTGTTTGGTGTATGAAGTATGAATTATATTTAAAATTAATAACTTTTGATTATATATTGTATCCATAATCATATGTTAAATCCATAATTTCCCCAGCCAAGTTGTAATTGGACAGTGTTCTGTGGCTAGTTTATTTTGGTATGGGTGATCCGGTTTCTTCTTGCAGAGTCTTGATCTTTTCTTCCAGATTATATTATTTTTACACTATTGATTTAGGTTTCTCCATAGAAGAGCTAATGCAAGTTACTCTCAGAAGGTTGTTTTTTGAAAGATTCATGTTGAGTTTTCCAGCGGATCTTTCTAAAAATATTTTTTATGCAGTTTGTTTTGTACCTTCAGAAAGTTGTTGATTTCAAAATATTTGTGGTGGTCATCTCCATCGTATCTTCATTTCCCTAGAAGAGGAGCTTTTGATAGAAGACAAACTATCTAGCATAGTCTTCGTCTAGTTGTGATTTGCCTGAGTATTTAATTTGTCTAATCTTCTTTGTTTATCCATCTGAGTTGGTGTATTGTTTTGTCAACATGAACATAACATTGCACGCATTTTAAACAATCATAAAAACATCAACATGCATAGCCGAAGATATTTTCACACTCATTTTCATTTTTTGGTGTTTCAAAATCCATTTTTCCTAATAATGTGTCACCCCAAACAAAGAGTATTTTATTTATCTCCCCACAGAATTTACACCTCTTCAAATAATCATGTTTTAGCTTTCCCTTCCAACCCATTATCTAGATGGAATAAGTCCCTAACTAAGTACATCCCTTCCATCAGAATATGATATAAACATAAAATAAAGTTATATTAATTCAAATTAAAATACTTATTAAAATAAACTAATGGGTCATCAACTCCTCTAAAAACTTCTCCTATATTATATATGTTTCAAACACATAACTTACATCTAAATCATTCTTTACACACTCTCAGTCACATATGATATGCATGGACGACAAAACTCTAATTTTCTTACCTTTCTAGTATGACCACTTAACAATTGAAAACTCGTTTTGAAAGTTGCAATTAGTATTCTGAAATTCCAATGTAGATTTAGGCGAATATTTATACGCTTATCCTAATTATAAAATGCAATTGCTTAGACAACCATAATTAAGAAGTGAAACGAGTAAAATAAATAATGATTATAAAAGTCCATACAACACTGTTATTTATAGAAGTTCATACAACAAATCCAACGGTCGAAAAACTTACACTCTACCATTTATAGAAACACCCGTGCAACAAATTTTAACTAGTGAAAATCTTATATAAAATGCGATGAACAAAAATCTTATAATCAATTCAATTGGCAGGAGTTAACTTTTTTCTGTTTTTTTCTTTTTTTAATTCATTTTTTATTATTTAAATATAAGTTAAATATAATTCAAATATTAAAATAATTCTTACAACTGATATCAAAATATTAAATATTATATTATAACAGAATAAATATTTTCTATATTTTTTATTTACAGTTTAATGATTTTAAAATAATTTATTATTACTTAATCAATTATTATATTAATTTTAATATCATAATTATTATACAAAATAATTAAAAATAAAATTGAAAAATAAATGAAAGTGACTAGACAAAAATTCAAAGCGAAAAAAGAGCCTTATGCTCATTGACTCATTCAATGGTTGTGTGGTGATTTTTTGATAAATAAAAATTAAAAAAAAATAGCATACGTACGAAATTGTGTAAAACTGTGTGATGCAGTAGAGGCAGTTGTGGTTGTAGCATTACATTTGAATGGACTCATAGCTGTCGCCTGTCAACGTTGTTCAAACCCTACTCTAGCTATGGTCTCAATGGTGGGACCCATTTCATCACAAAAAAAACAACCAAACAAAATTCTCATGCTTCCTCCACAAGACACACTAACAAGAGACAACTGTTTTTTTTTTAACAATAATATTCTCATCAACCTTAATTCATTCTATAAAAAAAATTATTCTACCCGATTTCACTAATTAATAACAATAACATTTTCATCACCCGTAAATTTATTAACCATAATAACCAACAACAAGCATGTAATTTATCATTAATTTAAATTTTGCATGGTTATGTGGCAATAAAATATTTGACAGCATATATATATTAATACCAAAAAAGCAACCATAAGAAGAAGAAGCTTGCGCCCAAAGCACACTATCCTTTTCTTTCTCTTCTTCTCTATATACCCATATCTAACCTCCAACAGTTCAAAAAACAAAAGCAAAGAATCTTCTTCTATTCCACTCTCTTTCTTTTTCGTGCAAGTTTCATCTTTTTTTCCTTGCTTAAGAGTTTAGCTTCAACTAATTAATCAACTATTAGAACCTGTCGGTGTATCTTTTTGTTCAAAAATTCATCCTAAGTTTCGTATCTTGGATTAATGTAGTCAACATGTCTCAACAAGTGTTCCTTCTTTTTGGTTCTTATTTGTCCCCCTAATATTGTTCCTATTTTATGATGCATGTAAAACTCATGACATGAATATTTCAACATTCAGGTCCTGTTTTTTAGCATGAAGTGCCTAAAACTTGGAGTTTGATTACACCCATTTCAAAGTTTCTTTCTTTCTTTTCTTGGGTTGTTTTGTTTTGAGAAAAAGCATTCATTTTTGTTCATTCCCTTACTGTGAGAAAACTGCAAATTAAAAAAAAAAAAGTGATTTTTTAATTCATCATGAGTTTTCTAACAGGCTCTCCTAAGAGTTCTTGGCAACCCATTATGACAGTGAAGACAAATACTCAGAGTTATTGGTTTAATTGGAGGGTTTTGCTTTGTGGGATTTGGGTTATTCTTTCAATCATTTTCTCATCATTGCTTATATGGAAATATGAAAAAGGTTTGAGAAATGTTGAGGCAAGAAATGGTAGTGATAGTGAAAGGGAGAGACAAGAAGAGAATTCAGCAGTTTTGTATGAGGATGAAACTTGGAAGCCTTGTTTGAAAGGAATTCATCCTACTTGGCTTTTGGCTTTTAGAGTTTTTGCTTTTTTTGTGCTCTTGGTTCTTCTTGCTGCTAATGCTGCTGTTGATGGTGGAAGCATTTTCTATTATTATACTCAGTAAGTTTTAATTCCTTTTTTTGATTCCCCCCCCCCCCCCCCAAAATCTGGTTCTTTTTTGAAGAACAAACACTCCGGCTCTTCTGTTTATGATGAATCAATATGATGCTAATTAGTTAGTTAGAAGTCTATTTCAATATCCCTTTTAAGAAAGTTACTGCCTTACATGATTTTTTATGCTAATTTCAGCAATTACCTTTCTGGCCAGACATATATTTCAATTCTTGATGTATTGATCAACCATACATGCCAAGCTTCTTTTTTAACATTTTTTATTTTGTGGTTTCTGAAACTAGGTGGACATTTACTTCAATCACATTTTACTTTGGGGTAAGTATAAAGGCTTCAATATCTTATTACTTTTTAGTTGTGTTATGCATTAATTATACAATCTCTTATATAGTTGTTTGATATTTTCAGTTAGGATCAATACTCTCCATGCATGGGTGTTACCAACATCATAAGAAAGCGGGTGGCGATAGTAAAGTTGATAATGTGGATGGAGATGCAGAACAAGGAATGTATAATGTTCATATCCTTCCACCAAGTTTTTATGCATCAGACCAAGAGAAAAATTTGGGAGTACCAGAAGAAGTTTTAGTTCGCCAACATTCTGGAACTTGGGGTTATATTTTTCAAATAATATTCCAGGTACAATTTTTTTACAAATATCTTACTTCACTTATAGATTTTGTGAAAACAGTTTTATTTTATCTATTGTTATAGAAATAGCTTATACGTAATTGATTTTCTGTTTCTTTACTTGTGAACAGATAAATGCAGGTGCTGCATTGCTCACTGATTGTGTATTTTGGTTTGTATTTGTTCCATTTCTAACCATCAAAGATTACAATCTAAATTTTGTAAGTTCCTTTTATGAACTCATTGATTTAAGAGGCTTAAAAACTTGGGAAATAAACAACTTATATTATAGTATTATTTTGTTGCAGTTGATAATCATTATGCACTCAATCAATGCTGTTTTCCTCATTGGTGATACAGCTTTAAATTGCTTGGTGAGTTCTTGCATTTAGTTCTTAGTTTCCATTGTTTTTGTAACTGAAAATTCTTACCCTTCTTCCTTTTGCTCTCTTCAGCCTTTCCCTTGGTTTCGAATGGGATACTTTTGCTTATGGACAGTCACATATGTGATATTCCAATGGATTGTTCATGCTTGCATTAATCTCTGGTATAAATAAGCCTTAGTTTTTGAATTTTAGCTAAACACGTTATTTATACATCATTGTGTAATATTTTTTCTTTTCTTGAAAAAATAGGTGGCCTTATCCATTTCTTGACTTATCATCCTCATTTGCTCCACTATGGTATGAATTTGTTCTTTTCCCTTTATCATCTTCTGCAAAATTGATTCCTCTGCATACTACAAAAATCTTGTCTCAATTTGTAACCCTTTTTCCATGGCTTGTGATAAACTTGTAGGTACTTTGCTGTGGCATTACTGCATATTCCTTGCTATGGTATTTTCACTTTGGTAATGAAGCTGAAACATTACGTCTTGTCAACGTGCTACCCCGACTCATATCAAGGTGCTAGATGATATTGGCTTAGGACTAAACTATAGCTTCAATTTTATGAAGAACATCAACTTTACCATAGAAAGAAGGAAAGATAAGGAAGGAAGAAGGAAGAGTTAAATAACACTTGCTTAGCTAAGCGAATTCACACATTGTCAAAATAAGTAGCAAAATATATTTTTTGGGGTGAAGATTAGCAGTTGAAAAAGAAATAAATACAATATTGTTCTTGCTTTCTGCTAATACTACTTATAGAGATTTCATACATGTAATTAGTTATGAATTCTTATAAGAACTGATCTGACTAAGTACCGATTTTCTTATCATCTTTAAGTGTTGATACTTAAATATCCATAGTTCTTAATGACTAAATGAGCTAGCAGAATCTCTTTGCACTTTTAGTACTTTTTGAGGTTGATGCATGCATGCAGTAAGAAAAAGTATTACTTCAGAATAGTTTATGAATTTATGATTCCTAGATAAATTATGAAAAATATCATAACTTGTTTTAATAAAGTCTCTCAAATAGAGGAAAAGAATGAAGAAAACAAACCTGATACTATACATCAATTTTTGTTACAAAGAATGCCAACCAAAAAATGACTACATAGTGGTACAAACACAATTCTGATTATTGAAGACACATCCTAAGGTGTGCAAAATAATGTGTACATAGTTGATACAACATTAAGATACAGGTTCTGACTTGTGATCACAAAGAATTGCCTGGTAAGGAACCCATTAAGATGGTATTTTCGCTTTGATGCTCCCTTGTTTTCTCAGGCCTTTCTTTCGAAAATAATCCAGAGAGAAACTTAGGTGACAGCCCGGAACTCAGTCCCTTGCCTAAACCTCCCCACTGGCTTGCTCTGTTACTTAAACGCCTTGTCTTGTTCAGTCCGAGCTGTTCCCCACAAGGACAACTTACAAGCTTTTTAAAGCAAGGCTTATGGAAAACTGACTGACAAGATTTGCACCTTTCAATATCATCTTCCTGTTGATAATTTAGCTTTTTATTAAGATTGATCTTTTTCAATAGATCAAAAGACTTCCAGACTGACATAAGAGTAAATAAGTGGAGGCATTAGAGGATAGCAAAAACATAATAGCCCCCAAATCTATAATAAATCCCAACTATGTGTGGCTGGGTTGGTCATTTAAATGGATCTGTTGTACCATGAAATATTAAAAGGGTCTGATAATTTTGGAAAAATAAACAAAAAATAAATCAACAAATCACGAATTTTAATCCTACATATCACTGAGTCCTTTTACATGACCATCTTAGTTAGCAACAAGTTATTTTACATCTGAAAATCGTGTGGTCAATTATTTTAATAGCATAAAGTGGCATATGAGTTGATTCTTTTTGTTGGTGAAATTGGGAGAGTTGATTGCAGCAAAAAACTAAAAAGTAATGGAGGGGGTTGCACATAGGTCGTGGAAGAGAGACCCATGAGTCAAAACTAAACCAAAATACAAGTTTCTTTTGTACTTGATAAAAAATATGCAGTGGTGTATGGACGAGCATTATTAACTAACTCACAAGTAAATTATTACAATTTATTTTTAGGAAATCATCGCCACAGTTTTTGAAGTTTTTAAAATTAAAAAAAAAAGAGAGAAGATGATCCAAAAAATACTTGTGAGATCTTTAAACCTCCTTTTTTTTCTTTTTGCTTATGTATGATCATTTTTTTTACATTCGGAGCCTAATTAAAATTTCAAGAAATTATTATTTTTTTATTTATATACTCATTCTATTCCTTAACTAATGATATGCTACAGAGACTTAGTATTGGCAGATACAAACCTGAAATGGAAAAATGAGGGAGGATGGGTCACTGCAATCTTGTCGGGCACTACACGGGTTTCCCACATCACAGCATACAAGGCATTGATCAGTAATGTGTTCCAGGATTTTCCTCGACACAGTTTCCACCATCACAGGAAGTGCTGCACAACAGTTGCTATACATCAGAAACACCAGATATAGGGAATTCCACATAACAACTTCAAAAGTAATCACTTATCGGTATTCTCTGTTAGACTTCTTATTAGAGAACAATATGAGAAGACGGCATAATTTAACTGGCAGTTATGTTTTTATTATGTCAATTGTTGTTTAATTTTAGAAATAGAGAAAAGAAAGGAGAAAGTGATTACTGGATAGTTATTGAATTTGAGTGGTTATGGGAGGGAGACTAAGCTCTCTAATTCTTGGAAGGGAGAAACCAAGAATCTCAATTTTCTGGGAGTATAATTGCCTTGCAACAGTAGACTATATCTTAGTTTGTGTTATTTCCTAATTTGTTGTACTTTAAAAGTCAGTTGCAACTTCCATTCCCATTTTGCTCTCTTTCCTGGAACGGAGGACTCTCTATTTTAATGTTTGGTTCATTACTCTATGTTTTCTGGTAGCAACTTCTGGTAACTCGTCTGATAAAATTATCATTATTCAGTGATACTATTATAATGTTATGCCAGTTCTAACTCTAACACTCTCATTAGTCGAAAAGAGAGAAATGAAACTGGTAATAAAACATACAATACAAGGCAATATGCATTAATAGGTACCAGGAAATGGGTAAAACAGAGCACTGAAACTGTATTACTGGGAAATATTCAGACCGGTGATAACAAGTCCTGGATACTGAAACTACAAAGCAGAAATTGCAAAAACTAGAAAAAGAAATGGCCTAGGCAATTCAACAGTGCTAAGCCTCTTCCAGAAGTCACAACTGATAACAGCCTAATCTCGGTAAATAAGGCTCCCTCGCTATTTACCCTCTTCAGCTGAATCTCACACCCCCAACCATCCCTACAACTTATCAGTCGGTTAGTGGAAACCTTTCCATTTTCTCTCTGGGCCATAATTCTTTGGATCACACCTCTTCTTTCTCTTTACACCTTAGTTATTCTAAGGGTCCTATCATATCATGCATGAAGTTACTCCTCAGAATGATACGAATCCATACTCAGTTAGACTTATGATGCATAGCTATCTGGTACAAAATACTGCATTTTAAAAAAGTCAGGGTACGGATACGTCGATAAAAAATATTAGCTATTTTATATAATGTAACATGATAGAGCTGAAATGATCAATTCACAGCAAACCATCACAGTAAAAATTTAAAGAATAAAAAACTGTGTTAAGTTACAATAACAACAACAAAAAATACATAAATAACATTATATTATTAATTAATATACAAGACAACAACAACAACCAAGTCTTATCCCAATAAATGGGGTCGGCTACATGGATCAACTTTCTCCATAATGTTCTATCCAAGACCATGTTTCTAACCAAATAGAGATCTTAACAAGTTCACTTATAGTTTTTCTATGTCTACTTCTACCTCTAGTTGTTTGACTTCTCTCCACCTAATTTATTCTCCTTTTACCACAGAAAGCCACAAATTTCTCTGGAAACAAGATAATTTAAAAAATGGTGTACCACAAGTAATGGTACCAGGTACTAGGTACTTGACACAGACACTTCCCATTTTAGAAATATCCATGCTTCATAGGACTGCGATATCCACACTATTAACAATGCATACTCCTCTAGTCTTATTTATAAGAAGCAAAAGACAAAATCACAAAGATCAAGGAAGCACGTTCAATTTCAAAGGAGTTAATGCTAACTATTTTTCAAAAATACCCTAAACACTCATTACAAGAAACCCACATGCATAGGGAAGATGGATTTCAAGGTAAAATAAAACTTACAATAAAATATATAAAAGGAAATTCTATGATTAATACATTTTTTTTTTTGCTTCCGCACTCTGGTTCCTAGGGGAATGGGGCCCTATTAATCCAGAGCTCGTGAATCGAGGTACGAACACTGGCCAAGCATTGTTACCCACCAGGAATTAAACTTGGTATTCCCCGAATGTCATCCAAGTGTAGTAATTTACTTTATTTAGAACCAAACTAATAATCTACTTAACTCTAATAAATAGGACTGGAGGTAGACTTTTGAAATAAAGGAATACCATCAAATCAGGGGGGAAATGAGGAAATTTGGTAATAAAACGTCACTGATCAGAATGTTAGTTTCAAGTAATACATGTCTGTGTCAGCGCGCGTGTAAAAACTGGGTTTAAGATATCACTCCATCAAACCCAAATTAATTTATCAAAGGAAATGTAGCATGTGTAAGTGAATCTTAAATGGAAACCATCTTTTATTTAAAGCACAAGAATGCATTAAATTGAATCAAAAATAAAAGCTAACCAGCAAAGACTCCTTTGGAAAGATCAATCAAATCTCTAAGAGCAAAAAAATCATTGCTTTCAAGAAGATATTTCCGATTTCCAACACCTCTGTTGATAGATCTCCGGAATGGGCAGCGAACATATGGAAGCATCGTTCCTATCTTTTTCCTGACATTCATAACATGAAGCAAGGCTGGGACCTTTGACAAAAGGAAGGGATTAACGGCGGTGACACATAGCATGGGCTGCAGGAGAAATTTCAAAACAAACAAGATTAAAATAAGGAGAAGGAAAAGTATAAACATGTGTATATTATGTTTGATTGATCCTCAACTAACAAAAAAGATCTGGATAAACAGGCCCGTATATGATAAATTCTAAATCCTGAAAGCGAATATGACAAGGAAAACTAAGCTACAACCATAACCAATAAAAGCCATAAAATTCAATATGCACGAGGAATTAGCCAATAAGAACTTAGCATGCATCAATTAGTATGTATTTATGCAGTTGCTTTGCATGACTTCACAATCTCTGTGCCCAATGCTCACTTTAGTTGCAAATAAACAGAATTCCTTAAAACTAGCAATTACTATACAACAACAACAACCAAGTCTTATCCCACTAAGTGGAGTCGACTACATGGATCAACTTCTGCCATAATGTTCTATCTAGGGTCATGCTTTTATCCAAATTGTTAATCTCAAGATCTTTCTTAATAACTTCTCTAATAGTTTTCCTATGTCTTCCTCTACCTCTAACTATTTAACTCCTCTCCATCTGATCTACTTTCCTTACCACAAAATTTAAAACTAGCAATTACTATATCAATGTATTACAATCTAGCAGATCCTAGCTTTTGAGCCCAACAAAGAGAAGAGATAGAAACATCACTTTCTAGTTAGCTTACACATAAGAGACTTTGAACATAAACATGCATCAGAATTCAGAAAGAATATCGGGAGAAAATAATGTGAAAGCATTAAATCCAAAATTACATGTTCATGTATAGAATCCAGATATGACTTTGCCAGCTGAGATACAGGATAATGAGTGAAATCCCAGTGGTGTAAAACCCTTGCTGGCAAGACTGCAGTCTCATTTGTATGGCAAGAAGAACAGAACAGTTGACCAGTATATTCACAAAGTCGAGCCTTCCCCCATCCAAATGTTTGTACAAAATCCCAAATTGAATTATTTCCATCATCAAAATGCTTATGGCATCCAGCGCATCTGTGATGTTGGGCCTCTAAAAGCTGCCTCGTTGATTTATTTGATGGGATTTCAACAATAAGTGATATGGTCTTCCCCCACGTGGAAAAGTTTCGAATGCTTTCCCCTCTTGTAAAAGAAGAGAGAGACACTGGTGAATTTGACACGGGTGAACTAAGATGTGAATCTTCAGGGGATAAAAACCAAACTAGTGCTCTTGGAGGATTTGAGAAGAACCTGGAAGAGAGAATAGACTGTAGACACTCTTGAATGAGAACACTTCTCTTCGCAATAATATCAAGAGATGCACTTCTAAATATCTTTGATTCCTTTTCAACAGAAGACCAAGGCAAAGGTAAAGTCCAGCCTTGCTCGTTGAATAAGGTTTTCATACAACGGTGAAGAGTTAAGAAATCACGGTATCGCTTTTCAACCTCCCACTGATCCTTGCCACCCCACACTTTTATTTTATAAACAGTGTATTCCTTCACCCCAACCAATCTTTCACTGAAAGAAACATCACCTGTTTTCTGCCTTGCACCTACCACTTCAATCCTATCTATTCTTCTTGGGCGCTGAACTAGCAGATAAGCATCATCTGCACTAGAAGTAGAAGCGGTCAACCCACCATCTCTTGAAGGCATAGACACTAGTGGGTCAAGCATTCTGTTACCCATGGAAAACCTAGCCGCAGGAGAATCCCTAGACTCCAGTAAAATTTCTTCCATGTCCTGAACAACCTCGTCATAGAATTCATTTAGCTCAAGGTCCTCTATCTGCAATATTTAGTGAAACATTAAACCCAGTATAGGTGGAATGATAATTGCCACAATGTCTCAAGTCAATCATACTACACTTTTCACCATCTTTTATGAGGCGGAAAATAAATCAACCTTTGTCAACAGCATAGACAAGAAAACAAGTTAATTGAGTCATTTATCCAAAAGTTCAATTAAATACATCTTATTGAATTATGTATATAATAAACAGTTTCAACAGCCAAATTGGTCACTGCCTGAACATTATGCCTGTAAAGTTAATATCAAGTTAGAAATGTCATATTAAATTCAATGGGTTTATACAAGGCTTTAATTCACGAACTCCATCATCTAATGCATCCATGACAAAACTCATTGAGCTGCAACTGCATAATACTGCAATTGAATCCCAAATCAGACCACATTAGCCATCATGCAACTATGGGGACTACTCAACTATAACTACAATTTAAAACCTTGAACTTACATATTAATCTAAATTGTACAAACTGAAGTAGCACATATAATAATTGTAAGGTTTTGAAACAATAACTTGAAAGACAACAGGAGTACAGAACTCGCTGCTCACCTTAGATACCACATGACTTTTTTCTAATACATTTGTTGAAGTGGAAGTCCTCTCTAATGTTTGCCCCGTTCCACCATTTGATGGTAGCACAATTGGTTTAAGGTTCTCAAATGATTTTGCATTTGCATTTCCATTCCCTACATGAACAGATACATTTGAAGAACTTTCGTCAACTCTACTAACCAACTCTGGATTTTCCAAGTGAGCATCACCAGAGATACCAGCTTCATCACTATCGAAATGTTGATTACCTTTTCCCTCACTTCCACCATCGGTGATATTCAAACTCTTCTGAGGATCTTCTTCTGGCAGCGGACCCAAATCATCCGTTTTAAAACAACCAACCAATTTGTCAGCACCTTGAACTTCCTCACAACAAGCAACTGGAATTTTCCTCTCCCTATCCCTTACCTCTTCTAAAGCTTCTCGATCACCAGTATCTTTTGTTTCTTCAACTTCATCATTAACAATGACCTCACTCCCCTCCTCTTTTTGACTGGAACTTACCTCATTCTCTTGAAATCGATTATTATTTTCTCGCGGATTCTGAAACAGATCTTCCTCTACAGAAACTGAACCGTTTTCAATCAAAAAATCATCCAAATCATGAGAACCAAAAGCAACAGAAGAATTCATAAACAACGGATTCTCATTTCGAACTTCCGTCTCCTCGTAAAATCGAACCCTCCTCGAGGAATAGAATTCATTCTTCTCATTTTCATTCTCATTCTCATTATCACCCTCACATCCACTCCCATAGTTAAACATAGAATCCTCACCTTCCGAAAACTCCTCATCCTCTTCCATCTCAATCTCCCTTCCCCCAACTTCACCCTCATTTCCCTTCCCATCAGATTCCTCACTCCGTTTATTTCCAATCAACTCCGACGAATCAATCTCTAGCTCATCACCGTCGTCACCACCGTCACCGTACAATTCCAATCCACTAAACCTAAAATCCTTCCGATTAATTCCATCATCGAAGCTTCTGGAAGAACCAAAATCGATATCAGAGAAATCATGAAAAACGGTTACGGCACTGCACATGCTCATACTGGTGTTCGGTGTTCCCATCACCGAGTTAGCGCTACAGTAACGTTCCAACTCGGAATCGGCGCCGAAGGATGATGAACGGCGAGACGTGGCGTCCGATTGGCGAACACGTAAGCGAGGAAACGAATCCAACGGATCCGGAGATCCGTTCATGATTTGAAGGTTACGTGAGGAAGTTGGATTGATGGAAGAGGAATGAGAAAATTGATGAGCGCGCGGGATTATCAAATTGAGCACACTAGTGTGCCCTTCTTTGATACATAAACAGAACACGATGGAAAATGAAGCACGGTGCAGGGGTAAAAGTGTCTAAAAAATATGGACAATTGCGTTTTTGTTTTTACTTATTCAAGAATAAAAACAGAAATTCTGAAGATTAAAGTAAACCTACTATAACTCCAACGACCGTATCTGCGTAGGCTATGTGTGTTTAATTTTATCTACTTATGTTACCTACCAATCAACTTTGCTCTGCATTTGAAAACTAAGCTGCTAACATGAGATACCTTGTCAGCAAAAATAAATAAACTTCCACTATTTATTAAATTCAAAATCTTCATTCATAACACTATATTTGTGTTGGCAAAAATATTTATTCTCTTAACTATAGGTTATAATTCAGTTTGATTTCTTAATTTTTTTTTGTGCCAAATTGGTCTCTTAATTTTTAAAACGTAACAAATAAGTCCCTTCCATCAATTAGGCTCAAATATCTGTTAATTTTACACGTGGCAGGTGAGCTGACATATTATCTTCATATTTTTTTCCCATGAACATACGACTAATGTCAAACCACATCAACGTGTTCCCGAAGTAAAATTTGTTTCATTTGCATCTTCATGTTGTCGTCGTAACCAACCGACCAGATTACTGATGTCAATGTCAAGCTGCCACCAGATCTCCTCCGTAAATTCAAACGCCACTAGATCTCCTCCGTAAACTCAAACGAACGCCTATATCTCTGCTCTAACCACCACATCTTCTACCTGCCTAAGATTTTAACATAGACGACTTTTATTTGTTCTTAGAGCAACCTCTCATCTGCTTTCCTGTATTTATAGTTTGATGGAACCATAATTTTTTAAATTTTCATGTGAATTCCATGGAGAGAGTCAAGCACATTTAGAACATTAGTATCTTATAATCATACTAGTTTCCTTAACATTGACTTCAATTTACAAACTTGTTGGCTCCTAAATTCGACACCCTTGTTTCATTAATGTCAGCCATTAAAGCTAAAGGATGTTTTCGACCAGCTAGGTCCGTCGAAATGCCCATCGAAAGATGGCAAGGTACTTAGAAGATTTCTTCCAAGGGAGAAGTTGGTTGCCTTCGACGTCGAAGGTGTTTCTCGTCGAAGATGCTTCTCGACGAAGGTGTTCGATGGTTCAGAGTGGAACGGTTTGAAATTCAAGCGTTTGGAGGGAAAACGGTTTCCAGCGGTTACCAAGTGCAACGTGCAAAGATCTGGAGCGTCGAACGTTGAGAACGTGCCAAGTGGGATCATCTCGAAGCAGTGTAACTGCCCGACGGTTACTTGGGATGTTTTAGTATAAATAGTAGTAGTCATGTAGTTTCTCGCGTGTGTTCACAATTATATACAAAGTCACTCATATAGATTCGAGTACCCAGCGTGTGAGAAAGAATTGTTGAGAAATGTATGTGTGAAACACCAACTTTATTAATCAAAGTCATTTACTTTTCCAGAAATTTACTTGTTTTCTTCTTTACAGTCCTGTCGAAGCCCTTTATTTAAAGCCTTCATTTATTTTACCAAGCCTACTTCTTAATGCAATTTATTTAAAGCCTCTTTATTTCATTGTCATTTAACCATTATCCAATTTAATCAAAACTTCAAAATCAACCTATGTCCTAGGATCAATCTGATCGATCCTGCGAGTAACCAAATAAGTAACCATTTGGAGGATCAGCGGTTGTTTACCAATAACCAAGGTAAACAAATTGGCACACCTGGTGGGACTGTGTGTTGATTTCTGAAAATAATCTCATCCTTTTCAAGGAGCGTTGTATGTTATTGAGAAGTGGTAGAATATACACTAACGATAACAATACTTCCAGAAGAAGGGAAGAGATGGCGAATCCGCCAAACAATAACGAAATCCCACAAACGAATGTGGGAGCAACGGTTATCTCAACCGTAAGTGAAGCGACAACTGCTGGTTCGACACCAGCAGTAACGGTCACAGCAACGGGGCCATTACCCCCGTTCACAGGCCCCAGAGTGCCTTTGGGAACTCCCCCACCAAGGGGAAATTTAGGCACAAGGCCTTTTGTTCCCCCAGGATTTATGACAGGCGGTCATAATCGAGAGCCACTCTACGGCATGCCAACTTCTGACTTGGCTAGCCTGACGAATGTTGCGTCCACTTTTTCAGACCCTTTAGTGAGTGCCTCTTCGCCACTCCAAGGTTCTGGAGTAGGCATGGCGAATAGAAATAGGACCCAACTCTTAGGAGGAACGTCCCAAGTAGCCCATGGCCTTACAAATGCCTCGACAACAGTCTTGAGGCAACAAATGGACGAAAGCAACCATGATATGGTGCAAATGTTGGCACAAACTTTAAGTACAGTGCTAAACCCTCTAATACAAAACACCACTCAATCGAATCAGCAGATGACAACGCAAATGACGCGTTTGGCTGATTTCTTTGGAGTACCCCAACCTATTCGACAGCCCCAAAGGGCGCAAATAAGGGGAAACCAAGGGATATTCTTAGAGGAAGAAACCACCATCAACCAGGTTCAAAAGCATGTCGAAGAAAACCTTAGGGCACGATTGGAGAAACCCGTCGAGGAACCTAGGGTAATAACCCCAGAGGTAAGGTTAGTTAACAGAAACCAAAATGCTGACGAAGTAGTCCAGCATATCCAATACCAAAATACGGGTTTGGAAAATAATCTGGCAACCATGATCGAAAGGATCATGACTCAAAATGGGATGAACATGGGCTTTCGAAGGCCCAACTTTACGTCCCTATTGTCAGAATACGTGTTACAAACGGACTTACCTCCTAGATGCAAAGTCCCCAAATTCACTAAGTTCTCCGGGGACACGACAGAATCTACTGTCGAGCATGTGGCGAGATACTTGATCGAAGCAGGAGATATTTCGAATAACGAAAACCTGAGGATCAAGTACTTCCCAAGTTCTTTGACAAAGAACGCTTTTACTTGGTTTACAACTCTCCCCCCCAATTCGATCCATCATTGGACCCAATTGGAAAGATTGTTCCATGAACAATTCTACATGGGGCAAACCAAGATAAGCCTGAAAGAATTGGCCAGTGTAAAGAGACGTTTCACTGAACCTATAGACGAATATCTAAATAGGTTTAGGCTGCTCAAGGCGAGATGTTTTACACAAGTTCCAGAACATGAGTTGGTCGAAATAGCCGCAGGCGGTTTAGATTATTCCATTAGGAAGAAGCTAGACACCCAATACCTGAGAGACATGGCCCAACTGGCCGATAGAGTTCGACAGGTAGAACGCCTCAAAGCTGAAAAAGCAAAGGCAACGAAAACTCACAAGAGAGAGAGGATAGCGTATGTTGAGATGGATGACGAAGATCCAGAATCCTTCGACGATACTATAACTGTCGAAGAAGGAGAAGTCGATTTAGCAGAATTAAAACAAGGGCCACCATACTCTTGCAAACTGTTAGTCCCCTCAAGTGGGAAAAATCCCATTGGTCCAGAAAGGACCAACGATAGGTTCCCCAAAAAGACTTATAGTTTTGACATCACAAAATGTGATGAAATATTTGACTTGCTTGTTAAAGATGGCCAAATGATAGTACCCCCAGGGGTAAAAGTGCCTCCTCTTGATCAAAGAAAGAAGAGAGGTTTTTGCAAATATCATAATTTTTTGGGCCATAAAACTTCTCAATGTTTTCTTTTCAGGAATCTTGTGCAAGACGCTATCGAAGAAGGGAGGTTGAAGTTTGCTGACAAGACCCCCATGGCTGTCGACTCAAATCCATTGCAGGCTGAAGCCCACTATGCTGAGCCTTCTGAGGTGAACGTGATCGAGGCAACCAGAAGCCAGTCGAAGAGGCCAGGAATCACAATGGTCGAAGTCTCAAAGGACCATATCAACATGCCAATCTTTGGCAGTTTTTCTGGGAATTTATCCAGAAAGACAATTGAAGCAGTTCAGAAAGCGGTCGAAAGCCCAAAGCTGGAGACCGTTGAAGCACAAAAAACTGGACCAAAACCCAGTTCCCACTTGGCCACAGTTCAAGGCCAGACGGAGAATTTGGAGATTCAAATGAAGCAGCTGACCCTTGCCAACAAAGATACAATGAATATCAACATGGTCGAACTATCTGACCCAAAAGCATCAGAAGAGGCCATGAGGCAAGAACAGGCTAATAAGACTGCTTTCCCTCGGGAAAATGAAAATCTGGCAGATTTTCTACAAAGATGCCAGAAAAAGAAATCAGAGGTGATGCTGTGTCCAAGATGCAGTTCGATCTTTGACAAAAAAGCTGCTGAGCACATTCAAGGCGTAAGAGCAGCGAATAAGAGAAGGGAGAATGTTGATCTTCGACATGACCCCAGAAGAGCCTCCCAAAGAGGTTCAAACCAAGAAAAGAGGCCATTGACTTTCAGGCCTCCAACAAATGTGCCGGTAGATACCTGGTACAAAACCTCTGGTCGAAAAAGGCCAAGTGAGGAGAGATGGCACTCTTTCGACGTGCCAAGGGGTTCATCTTTGACTCAAAAGAAAGAGCCTCAAGTTTCTGCACCTAAAGTTGCACAAGTGTCAAGCAACTACAAAGGGAAAAATCCCATGTCTCGATCTCAATGGAGGAGATACCAAAGGAGACGAAAAGCAGAGAGGGAGACTGCCAATGAACCAAAGGCAGAAACCAGTTCGAATGTTCCTCTAAGGAAGCAAAGGAAACCTCTAGAAAGAGAGCCAGTAACCAACAGGCTAGTTTGGCCTAACCAAGGTGAAGTCGAGGACGAAGACGATTCTGAGTCTGATGATACTTTGGACATAATGGTGAATATAGTCTCAGTGCTGTCCAGAGAATTCAACCGACAGGTGGAGGTCGAAGCAAGTGACTGGGAAGTGGAGCAAGAAATGGCCAAACATAGGCCAGTGTGCTATTTCGTCATGGACAATG